TCAGCCTCTCAAAGTGCTGGGATTATAACCATGAGTCACCATACCCAGCCTGTGATTGCTAATTTAAACCTCATGATCAGCTACAGAAGCAGAATTCACAGCAGCTTTATTGCTATAATGTTAAAACTAATGTTACTTTTTACCTCAATAACTTGTGGTAAGGTGATAACTATCATTGTAGGTTTAAAGTAGGATTATAAACAAACTGATATCACCCCATGAGTTGGTTTTGATTTCATCCATCCTGTGCTGGAATATAAATTTTTCACTTGAGAAAAGAATAAGAATAAATATCAAAGGACAAAAGGAATGAACTATGCCAGATATTTACTATTGTCAGTCTATATTTGCTGTCCCCTTCCTCTACCCTGTATCCCCATGAAGCCGACCTATATATGAATTTAGTCTTTGCCTTTTGGCTTCTGGTTGGATTTGGCCAATGGAAAGAAAAAACAGATCAGAGAGAGTAAGGAAGGAACTCTTTCTGTCTTCAGATTTGCTTTCCTCTTATTACCCTTTTGGCCCTAGGTATAGTAATTACCTACATAACAGTTTCAGGGTCCTACATTATCCCTTGTGGTTTAATGCCTTCCTCAGTCCTTGGCAAACAGCTTCTCTATTAAGAAACCTTTTTTTTTTTTTTTTTTTTTGAGACAAAGTGAAGAGATGTATTGTAGAATCTGAAAACTGAATGACTTATCCAGGGAGACAAGGACAAAACACTGTGGGCCTAGAGAATAGCAAATGCAAAGCTGCAGGAGTGCCAAATCAAATCAAACAGGCCAGACCCTGAATATACATAATTGTAGTCTGCCAATTTCATTAGTTCTTAACATTGTCAAGCATGAAAGTATGAAATACTCTGATTTCTTTTCAAAAATAAAAATTATCTTAGCAATTCTACTGTGAATGGAATAGGTTAGCTTTTAATAGATTAAATAGTATCAATTTACACCAGCAATTTTACCTGCAATTTTTTTTTTATATTTTCCTTTGTATTATTCTAAGAACTAAGAATTATCTGGGATTTCAAGTTCATTTACTGATGGCTAGTTTTGATTTTTTTTTTTTTTTTTTTGAGACATAGTCTCTCTTTGTCACCCTGGGTAGAATGCTATGGTGTCATAGTTCACAGCAACCTCAAATTCTTAGGCTCAAGCGATTCTCTCGCCTCAGTGTCCCAAAGTAGTTGGGACTACAGGCATTTCCCACCATGCCCAGCTATTTTTAGAGACCGGGTCTTGTTCTTGCTCAGGCTGGTCTCGAACTCATGATCTCAGGCAATTAACCCTCCTCAGCCTCCCAAAGTGCTAGGATTTCAGGTGTGAGCCGCTGCACTGGGCTGATGGCTAATTTTGAGTCCAGACATCAGACTTGTAGACAATCAGAACTCTTCCCAGGTACTTATATTAGCCCACTTGGGATCTAGCTTCTCTGATATGTGTAGCCATGCCAACAGTCAGCCTGATATAAAATTATGTTCTTTTGTCCTTAATTAAGGACCCTAATTATTCGTAGCCACAGTTATTTCCCAGATTTATCATTATCTAAATCATGTAGTTTCTTTGGGGGTTTGAACCTTCACAAATTAGACCTTTTACTATTTTGACTTTATTAAAATTATTCCCCACAATCAATATATAACAATGAATCCATGTAGTAATAGGTATGAAGATGAGGAAGAAAAGGGTTGAACTGAGGGAAGGTATGTATTTTAAAAATTGTGTTTTAAAAATGTATCTTAGAAATATATATACTTTGTCTGTAGTCCCAGCTACTTGGGAGGCAGAGACAGGAGAATCACTTGAGCCCAGGAATTAGAGGTTGCTGTGAACTATAATGCCACAGTACTCTACCCAGGGTGACAGCTTGAGGCTCTATCTCAAAAAAAAGAAAAGAAATATATACACTTTGTGAGTCTCATTTTTTGCAACTCTGGCTATTTTTGCTCTTTAAATTACTGTAAACACTGTTTGAATAATTAACTTTGTCTTCTTTCTTAGTTGGTATCTGCTAATGCAAATCTGATCATGACACTCTCCTGCTAGAATCTTTCAATGTCTCCCTTTAACATACTTCCCTAAAAGTATGTGAACCAGGTGGTTTAGAGAAAGCAGTTATGTGTGGGTTCTGTGTTGAGGTAGATAATATTCTGATATATTGTTGTCTCCTACAAATTGAGAATCTGATTGCTAAGTAACATCACACTTTCTTTTCTAAATTAGAATCCACCTCAAAGAATTATGAGAATAAACATATAAACATATTCATGTTACATATGTAGCTTACAAGTGAGGAGACAAAATAGCTCTTCCATGTAAAGGTTCACTCTCTGCTCCTTTGGGCCTCAGATTTTCATTTTGAAGCCTCCATATTATGGGGCAAAGCTAGCTTATTTTCCAGTACTGGAAAAGTGGAAATATATTGTACCTGGAAGGAAAGTCAGTGGAAGAATCTCCCCTATACCTCATAATTGTTTTATATCACTTTCCATTTGCAATGATTGATGCATTTAAAACTCTTATTGGAGCATATCAAATGACTAAAGGTTTTTAGAAAGCCTAAATTTTCTTATTTCTCTAAAAAGAAAATGTATCCCTCTTGAATTCCCTAATGAAAGTAAAAAAGCAATACTAGCTATATAAAGTCAGTCTCACAGATACATCACAGACATAATACTACATGTCACAAAATGGAAATGAATCGCCCAGATTCTCCTTGAAGAAAGGACTTACTGTCCAGCTGCAGAGATAGTTAACAGATATGTACTATGTGTTGGCTCCTTCAGTGTTTGCCTCAGCTACAGAACTATATACCCCACATTAAGGACACGTTCTTCCCCAGGGCAGTCCCTTTCAGTGGGGCAATGTGAGGATTAAAAGGGTGGTCCAGAGCACTTTTGGCCTACCCTGGGGGCAACTCTGGCCAGCAGTACTGGCTCCAGGGCTCTCCACTAGTTGGGTTGAGCATTTAGCTGGTCTGTATCACGTTGGACATACTCTGCCCAATTCTAGTTCTTCTGCCTCCTTTCATATATGTTGATCCTTAATAAACACTTTGTAACCCAAGATGTAATCTGCCATCTCACCATCTTCATACCAAGAACCCAACATAATTTCTTTTCCTAGGTCTCTTGCATTTTATTCTTTTTTCTATCAATAAGGTTTCTGCAGGCAAAGATGGTAGTGCTAGATGTTAGAAAGGTGGAAAGGTGCTGCAGAGAACCAGGCTGAATAGAGTTAGCAGCAGAGATTTATTAAGAGCATTTGCAAGCAGATGGACTGCCACCCCACATGGAAAATGGTGACAGCACAAAGATAGGGTAAGGCTGCTCTTTTAAAGCAAATTGGAGTGTGGCATAAGAGTCGCTCAGGAGGTGGAGTGTGCCATGACAGAGATCAAAGGTCATCTGCTGGAGGTCTTGTAAAAGATGAGAGCCATCTGCTGAAAAAGCAAGGAGAGTTAGTCTTTTAAAACTGCAGAGGAACTGGTAGCCTGGGTGGAGAATTCACACTCCAAGATATTTCAGGAGAAATTGTCCTGCAATATTTTGGAGATACGGGACTTTATTATTCTGTGGTTTGACCTCTGGACCTTTGGCTTGGCCATTGTTCTATGGTTTGACCTTTGGTTTAATTCATTCAACTTCTTGGTTCAGGTCCTCTAAATAGCTACCTCACTAAAATGGCTGTGTCTACACTAATGGTATATTTAAGGTTTGATGATACTTTTCACACAGGCAATAGCAAATCTGTCCTCACAAAGTTAATATTTTTATGGTCTTTTTAAGTAAAGTGTCTCAGATTCTACAGCTTTTTCTATTGTTACGAAACTTAGATCAGGATTGCTATTGCTTTTGATTACTGTCCACGTTAATTTACATATCCTACAAAGGTCTATATTATGGGTTTCCTCCCTTCTCTCCCCCCATATATTACTGCCTTTTACTTCATAGCCTCATAGGCCTTCTGATTATTCTCACAAAATGTTGAATGTTTTCTGGCCTTTGCACTTTTAGTTCCTTTTCTCCTGAGAACTGCCATTTCTTTTATTCCATTCACGTAGCTCTCTGACCAAGTAACACATTGAAAGAGGTCATTTTTGCCTAACCTGTATCTAAAGTAGTACTCCCCATTGTTAACAGCTTACTGTATTTTTTCATAGGATATGTATTACTTGACATATTACACGTTTACCTGTTTGTCTTTCCCACCTGTAAGTAATTTCCACAGTGGTGGATTTTCTAGGTTGCATCCCTTGTTGTATTCTGCTACTAGAAGAACGCATTAAGAGAATAAATGTTTCAAAGAAATAGAGGGAAAGGATTTACAAACGTGAGCTCAAGTCCTGCCCCTCTTTTTCTTTTTTGGAGTGGGGGTACGCAGGCTCGCTTTGTAGCCCGAGCTAGAGTACCATGACCTCTGACTGGCTCACAGCAACCTTCAACTTTTGGTTTGAGGTTGCAATCCTCCTGCCTCAGCCTCCCGTCCAATTGGGACTAGATGCCACCGTGCCCCGCCTTTTCTATTTTGAGTAGACAAGTCTCACTTTTCTCAGGTTGGTCTCAACTACTGGCCTTAAGCGATACTTACAAGCGTGAGTCACCGCGCCCAGGCAAGTCCTGAGTATTTTAAAATCAATCAATAAAACGTACCTATACAGCTGTTAGAAATCCAATCATCAAAACTCCATCACCTGGTCAAAATTAAAGCTAACTGAATTACTTAGGAGTCAGAAACTTCTGTTAGTACCTTATCTAGTACCGTCTCTAAGCTTGCTTCTTAAGGACACACCATTACTTTCACACTTAGGACTGTTTAACATTAGAATTGCAACAATTTACACTTAAAGAAATTCTGTTTTCACTGCTTTCCAGTAAGTAACACCTAAGAATTACCTCATCCTTCCCTCCAGGAGTGCTCGGAATGCTCAAAAAAACGAAAAAAGATTATGCGCTCAGCCTTTTAAGACACTTTAAGTGGCTCTTAAAAGAGCCTTTGTTTTTCAACAGTTTCTAACCACGCTCCTTATTTGGTTTTATGGTGGCTCTCGGTCTTCTTGGGTAGGAGCACCGCCTGGATGTTGGGCAAAACACCGCCTTGCGCAATGGTGACTTTACCCAGCAGTTTGTTGAGCTCTTCGTCGTTGCGGATAGCCAGCTGCAAGTGGCGCGGAATAATACGAGTCTTCTTGTTGTCTCGGGCCGCGTTGCCTGCCAGCTCTAGAATCTCGGCAGTTAGGTACTCGAGCACCGCCGCCAAATACACTGGCGCACCAGCCCCAACCCGTTCCGCATAGTTGCCTTTACGGAGGAGGCGGTGCACACGGCCCACAGGGAACTGGAGGCCTGCCCGAGAAGAACGAGTCTTTGCCTTAGCACGAGCCTTACCACCCTGCTTACCACGTCCGGACATGGTGACCCTGACAAACTCAGCACCAGCAGCTAATACTCTAAAGGCGCCAGGCGGCACCTTTTATAGCCATTATTAGGCGCGAAAAAGAAGACGTGTCATAGGTTAAGAGTGTAGCTTAATTTTGACCAATGAAATGATTACTTCTGTATTTGAGGATTCTGATTGGTCAAAACTAACCTCTGACGTCACTAAACATGCCCACCAATCAGACACAGGACTTTTACATTTCACCTTATTTGCATAAGACGTTCTATATAAAAGCCACACGTCGCGCCTCGGTTACGTTTTCTTCTCGCTGTTTGTGAGTCGGCTGTGTTTTTCTCTTCATCATGCCTGAACCGGCAAAGTCTGCTCCTGCTCCGAAGAAGGGCTCTAAGAAGGCTGTAACCAAGGCCCAGAAAAAGGATGGCAAGAAGCGCAAGCGCAGCCGTAAGGAGAGTTACTCGGTGTACGTGTATAAGGTGCTGAAGCAGGTCCACCCAGATACCGGCATCTCCTCCAAGGCCATGGGCATCATGAATTCGTTCGTCAACGACATCTTTGAGCGCATCGCGGGTGAGGCTTCTCGCTTAGCCCATTACAATAAACGCTCGACGATTACTTCCAGGGAGATTCAGACGGCGGTCCGCCTGCTGCTTCCTGGAGAGCTGGCCAAACACGCCGTGTCCGAGGGCACCAAGGCTGTCACCAAGTACACCAGTGCCAAGTAAACTTAAGCAAGTAAGCGTCTTTAAGTTTGACCCCAAAGGCTCTTTTAAGAGCCACTTACGTCGTCAACATTAGAGCTGTAAATACTGTCTTTAAAATTAAGCTCGCTTAATCTTAATACAGTGTGGCTTGTAAATGCGCATATCGCTTGTAAAGTGTCTTGTGTGAGGAAAAAAAAAAGACATTAAAAAAATTAGTATTCCCGGAAGCTTTCTTTAAGTACAAAACGCTTCCTGGTTTTTGGCGCCAACATGCATCTGTGACTTCCGGTTAAAATCTCAAAAGGCTATTGTCTTTCTACCGCGGGGCAAATTGTGTTAATAAATGTCTTTCATGTTCTCTTTTTATCTCCAGTGGGCAGATGATAATAAACGAGTGCCTCCCTTTAGTTCACTCCTCCTTGGCTATACAATGTGAAAAGTTAAGAAATGTAGGAAGAGACATTAAATATTTGGGCAAACTTGGTGTTTTGTTAAGTTTGCTTTTTCTTTTACTCCACTTTTCCAGCCCATACTGGGTGGAAGCAATGTCGAATCACCAGGAAAGGCAAAAAATCTGTGAGAGACACAGGTTTCCTCTTGAGTAAGAGATGTAAGGGATCACAAGAAAGGTTTTACGTGACCACTTTTAGTTTTTAAAACAGCATTTTTCACATTTGCTGATTCAATCAGTGATTTTTAAATCAACAAATAAAACTTTAAGGACCTTGCCAGGGAAAAACTTGGCTGGTGTCCAGTGGAGACAACCAATAGAACAGGTCCAGACCGCCCAGAAGTTGAAGTAGGGGAGAGGGGAGGTAATGAGGCGGGGGAGGAACTGCTTCGGGCCTAGAGTCTGAGCCGAGTGAAAGCTAGAATGGCTATTTATGCCAGTAATGAGCAACGTGAGGTTTTTTGTTTTTTGCTTTTTTTTTTTTAGGAAGAATGGAGGTTGAAAGTAAGGGTCGATAAAATTTTGGTTGTCACCTGGCTAAATTTGTGATTTAGAAATCCAGGTTTTATAAGAAAATGACTTATTCAACATTCTTGTATGTATATAAGTGAATATATGTATAAATATATGTATGTATATGTATTCTTACATATATATTTCATCACGGGCTGTTCAAATCTTTAGGGATACAGTGAGTGAACATTAGTGAATTGCTTGTCTTTGGAAGTATATTTGGAGATTGGAAGCGTTAAACTAACAATGCACAAATGCAAAGCATATGTTTACTGTCTAAATCTTATGCTACTAATGGTTTGTGGATTATATCAATATTCTAGGGAATGTATCAACAAGTGATTGTTTAGTGTTTTGTCAATATACAAGGCACTGGTCTATACATAGTGACATATGAACTGGTTTAGTCTTAACACATATCTATGAGGTAGGTATTATACACATTTTCAAATGTGAAAATCAAAATGCAAAGAAGTGGAAGAGCTATCTAAATAATTTTCAGAGAGAAGAGAGCAATGAAGAAGGAATAAGTCTGAAGAGAGAGAATGTTGTAATTTGACCTTCACAGAGTGGTTTTCCTAAGCAGGACATCCTTTTGTACTTTATTTGCTCCTGACTTCATTTTTACAGCAAAATATTCATAGCAAAAATTAAGTATAATCCTTAAGACTGATTTCACGTAGCTATCAGGAGTAAATTGTACCTCTACAGTGCCTCTTCCTATTTAGATTTCACTGGGGGCAGGGAACAAGAACCTTAAGAAAAATAATATATGTCATTTATTATTAGCATGTTTTCTAGAACACCATGCAGATGGTAAATTCTATCTTAAGGTATATATAAATACTGCTTTTAGATTAAGATTTTTACCCTCAAAGTTTTACTCATTGTATGCTAATATTTTTACCCCCAAATATAGCATTTTGACATTCTGGACTGAGCCTCAAGGTCTCTCTGACCTTCCCCCCTTCACCCTCCCACTTACTTTCCCCAAATCTTAGAAGTTTCTTTATCTGCCAGAGATGCAGACCCACTTAGGAGAACAATAGTTTTTTCTTCCCCTCCCGGTTATCTCTTTACTGCAGAAAAGTAGAGCAGGAAAGTAACTACACCTGAACAGATCCCCCCCCACCTTTTTTTTTTTTTTTTAACAAGATAATGTATGTAATTCTTTTAGTATCCTCTAAACAGAATTCCTCTCCCCTACCCATAACCCATTTTATGAGAAGGTTATATATAAGTTTCTGGACCACTTTGGGGAGCAAAATCCTCATTTTTTGAGACTTCCTGTGTAATATACTTTAAAATAAATAAGCCTTTCTGTTACTAACCTACTTCTTTGTGAGTTGATTGTACATTGACCCTTCTGAGGGCAAAAGGGAAGTTCTACCTTTGCTCCCACAAGGCTATCATTAACTCTAGGCTTATAAACTATTTTTACAAACTGATACAATTTTACAAAGTTTGCTCTTAGATCTTTTTACTTTTATTCCAGAATTTGAAAGTACTTTGTGTTTTAATGGAAATGCAGGCAGTGGCCATAATTTTCTCATGCTTTCATTCTCATTTCTGTATCTCTTCACATGGATCTTATTTTGTTTCTCTGTATATAGTGTAGATCTTAATAGTTGGAAAGAATCACAAAGTTCATTCCAATGTTCTTTTTCAAATAGCAAAACTGATGAACAGAGCTAGAGGCAGAAGAAAATTCATTATGTTTATCTTTCCCCCCTTATGCCATGTATCTCTTTGTCATTTATTTCCTCTTAAGCCATGTATGTTAACTTGGAACAAAAATAGAGCTCTTTTAACTTATTTTATAATCTCCTTTAAATTATTAGTCGAATGTGCTAAATTAATTCCCCTAAAATTTGTTTTTTAAAGAGTAGTTCATGCTTTAGACTTAGAGCAATTGCTGTGTGACTCTGAACCACAGCATTTAATCTGGCAATTGTTATAGCTCTATGAAAAACACTATGCAGGGAAATAATCATCTGCTTTAGATTCTCCCATTCTTTGGGAAACAGAGTAGCTTTAGGGTTGAAACATGGAGGTTTATTTGACCATGCTTAATGACTTAGCAGTCACATATTTGATCTGTTTTAAAGTATCTTGTGATCCAGAAGTTAAAGAGGTCAAAAGAAGAAGAAAATGGCATAGATTTCCTCCTTGGGTAAGTTAGAAAAACTTAATCATTATTTATTCTGAGTGCTTGATACAAACTTCACAACTCCATGCCCATGAGAAGTGTAATACATTATGTCACAGGGTTTTATTGATATTATCTGAGGTATGACTAGAGTTAAAATGGAGGAAAAAGCAACTTGCTCTTTGATTTCCTCTCTTACTTTCTTGTTCTTCCTTAAGCTAGGATTTTTTTCTTCTTTTTGCATCTGTATTAGTATTTTGGGGTCTGAAAGCTTTAAAACCAGTTAGTTACCCTAAGACTGATTCTGCAATACAAATGTAATGCAAGTCACAGATATACTAATTGTTTTTCTAGTAACCACATTAAAATGTAAAAAACAATGAATTTTACATATTCACTATTACACTCTATATCAAAGTTCTTCTTTAACATATAGTCAATGCATAGTTTATTATTAATTGACAACTTATATTGTTTTTTATTTCAAGTCCAAAAAATCAGATACTTTTTTTTTTTTGAGGTAAGAGTCTCAATTTGTCACCCTCAATAGATTGCCATGGTATCATAGTTCACAGCAACCTCAAACTCTGGGGCTCAAGTGATTCTCTTGTCTCAGCCTCCCAAGCAGGTGGGACTATAGGCACCTCCCACACCACCCGGCTATTTTTAGAGATGAGGTCTAGCTCTGGCTCAGGCTGTTCTCCAACCCATGAGCTCCAGCAATCCACTTGGCTCGGCTTCCCAAGTGCTAGGAGTACAGGCATGAGCCACCAAGCCTGGCCTAAAATCAGATACTTTAAAAACACTTGTACAATACATCACAACTCATACATTTTTGATATCTATTTAGAGTTTATTAATGTATAATAACAAGTAGATTCAGATTCACATACCTAAGCTATTCAAAGTATACTTAAATGAATCCAGCACCTGTTTTTAAATGTAAACTAATTGAAATTTTAAACATATTTTGATTAAACGTCTATTTTATCAGTCACATGCCACATTTCAAATGCTTAGTAGCTGTACATGGCTAATGCTGTATACCATATACTCAAGTGAGAAGTTGGCCTTAAAAGCTACAACATATAGGGCACTAGGCCAAGGATGATAATTCCTTCTGGAATGGACAATTGTAAGATAGTTTTTCCTAAGGGATTATGGAATCCAGTGGACTTTGAACATGAAAAATGATAGGGAAGGACTTGTTACATCACAGATTTCTTTATAGTAGACACAAAAGTAAAAACAAGTTTCTCTGACAGGTACACAACCTGAGGAACTGAAATAATTCATTTGCATTGGGCTAGTGACAGCAGGGTTTTTAATCTGTCCTGACACATTTCCCCAAATTCCCCATTATAGGACTAGTACCACTTCTCTATATTGAGAGTGATTAAGAGTATTACAGGTTTGAGTCTTAGACTATATTTGTTATTTGTCTATCTGTGAGTTGCCTCTATTTTACCATTTTAATATGAGAATAATAAAATCTATATCACAAGAATATTATGAGTTAATCTATGTAAAGCACTTAACACAAATTTAAATAATTTTTTTAAAGCTCACATTTTATTTTTTTGTTTATGCAGGTGAGGTTAAAAACACAAAAAGCATTCAATTCAATTATGATTTTCACAGAAATTGCAACATAATGCTATCTCACATATATTTATATTTTTATAAAACATATAACCATTTTGAAAATCCCTGGGTATAATAACATATTTTAAGAATACCAGCACAATTACCAGGCTGAAAATAAGCACTAACTAGTAGGCATTTTCCCCAAAGAAAATCATTTCACAAGTCTACTCAGAATTGCATATTAAGCATAATTCCAAATATATGAAAGAAAAAACCGATCATTTCTTTGGGGGTTGTAACTTTAGATTTTAGACTTCTGTCCATTTAACACTTCAAATGTACAGCATTTATTTGTGATTTTTTTTTTTTGGAAGGGTATTGAATATGTGAGCTTTGATAATAAACTGGCTTCCCTCCATGTCCTTGAAATCAGCACATAATTGCATACCTATTTCAATATTAAATATATTTTTAATGTGTGTTAGGCACTATTCTTTTCCTTTTTGTCTTTCCTTTCTGTTGTTTCTCTTGCAATACTTTTCAAATTTTATGCATTCAGTTAATCATTGCTTTTTAAGAGAATAGGAAGGTCAATCTTTTATAAATCTTCCATAGCTTTCTTACTGCTATTCTTACAGCTATTTCTGAAAAGGCTTACTGTCCAGTTTAAGCCAAATCATGAGATAAGGAGCCTAAATTTTTCCAAACATTGATGGCTGCATCTCTCAGGGGAAGTTTGGAGTGGGGAAGGGAAGGATAACTCCTATAAGGTATCATTCAAAAACTAAAAATATAAGTCCAGCATTAAAATTAATTTTTACATATCCAAAGCTATTACTAACATTTAAAAACAAATCCACAAGGTGACAGAATATATTTGTCACATGCTGACAGTTATTAAAAGTCAAAATATAAGAAATACAAATCATAAAAAATCCTAGAAAATAAATGGGCAAATAATAGATAATTTCTAGAAGAGAAAACCTTCAAAGAGCCAAAAATCTTATTAAAAACTTACCACTTTATTTAAATTAGAGAAATGCAACTTAAATAATGAGATACCATTTAGCAAAATCTTTGTATTGGCAAAAATTTTAGTCTGACATTAGCAGATGCTAATGATAGGGAATAAGAACTCTCAAGCACCACAGGGGGCATGAGTCACTGTACACTAGAAAGCAAATTGTTCACCTCTATTCATGTTGAATAGACAGCTATTATCAAGCAATTCTACTTCTAAGGAGTAACTACAGGGCTACAGCTAGGTACAGCAATGCCCTTGCAGGTCTGTAATGAGGGAAAATGAGACAATTTAAGTATCTACCAACAGAAAAATAAAGTGTAAATTTTGTACTGACACATAAGAAAACAAGATTAATGAGAAGAAAATAGAACTACATTTCAACATCAACTTAATTTCAACAACAAATGTATAAAGTCCTTATAATATATTGATAAGAGGGTATATGCATCTTAATTTGAGAAGCAAAAAGCCTGGGAGTAATATATACCAAATTCCTTGGGCAGGAGAAAAAGAAGGATATGCTACTGGAGATGGACAGAAATCTTACCATTTGTTTTATAATCAATGTGGTGTTCACCAGTACCTAGGTAGTTTCTTTCCAGTGCCTAAAAATAGTACCAGAAAGCAAACACAAAAGGAGGTAGACATATTGCCAAGATTGCCCCTCCTACGTAGGTTCATAGCAATAATAAGACCCCTGGTAAGCCCCCTATTTAAAAAGGGCACCAAGTTTCTTCAAGCTTCCTGCCGTTTGTGGAATGCAATTGTTTTTTTCTAAGATCCCTCCACCTTATGGAAGTCAAAGGAGCTGGGAAGTGTCCTGCTTGGACTCTAACTTTACTCATTTATCACTGGTTCCATAAGCAAGCTGCAAACAATTTGAACTTGCTAGGATGAGGCAAGCTTCTTCCCGCCTTCAGAAAATCTCGACCCGTGGTGGATTGCAGTTACCAGCAAAGACAAATTAAGCAATTATCGACCCGTGGTGGATTGCAGTTACCAGCAAAGACAAATTAAACAATTAAACTGCCATAAGAACCTACTTGTAGGTATTTTAAACTCTTTTTCTGAAATATTAGGGGCCCTAAAAAGGGCCTTTTTAGTAAAGGACATGTTTCTGAAGTGGTATTTAGCCGCCGAAACCATACAGGGTGCGGCCCTGCCGTTTAAGCGCATAAACCACGTCCATAGCTGTGACCGTCTTGCGCTTGGCGTGCTCGGTGTAGGTGACAGCATCTCGGATCACGTTCTCCAGGAACACCTTGAGCACCCCACGGGTCTCCTCATAGATGAGGCCTGAAATGCGCTTGACCCCCCCACGGCGGGCCAGGCGTCTGATCGCAGGCTTTGTTATGCCCTGGATGTTGTCGCGCAGCACTTTCCTGTGGCGCTTAGCACCCCCTTTCCCTAAACCCTTCCCTCCTTTACCACGTCCAGACATTGTCAAAAGACACAGAATGAAAACTACAACTGAGGGGAATGGCAACTTCTCTTTATAAGTAACTCCTGCGGACCTGACTGAAACCCGAAAAGAGTTGCGATGAGAAGTTCCGCTATGCTGGGGGAGGGGACCTGAAAAGGGAACAAGTTTGTCCTGCTATCCTCTTTTATTTTCTTTCAGTTCTTTTTAATACTTAATTAAGACTAAGGCTATTTTTCCTCCTGTTTTCATTTAGTGTGATTCCTACCCCATCTTTATTAAATAGCAAAATTTCAATATTATAGACAATACACGAAAAAGCAGAGGAGACTAAAGACATTGAGTATTTTTACATGTATACATGTATTTCTTTAACACTCTGCATAAGACTGTGCTATTTTTGTAACATTTTTCTCCTTAGTTTGTGGTAGAAATATGCTCAGTATGCTAAATTCCTAAAAAATGAACAAGGTGGACTAATAAAATATAGAATTTTAAGATCTTTCAGGCATATTGCCAAATTCTCTTTCACCAAAGTTACATATTTTCATTTCCAACATTGGAGTGTGAGTGATTCCCTCAAATATGGCTCTTGGGCATGTTAAATGCTTTTGAAAGTTGAAGGACCTTAGAAATAAGGTGCAGAATCAAGGTCCCCCTAACCTTGCCTTTTTTCTCTTCCCCAAGGTAGGGAGGGACTTTCTCTGGAATTTCCTGGTCTGAACAAGAATGCTTCTTACCAAAAAACTCATAGTTGCCTTCAGTCCACTCCCTGTCACATCACGGTCGATGGCAGAGAAGACGACAGAAGAATGCAACCACACCTGGATGGATTTTTCTACTAGATATGCATGCCTGCCTGCCTGCCTCTTGGCACGTTATCTCCTGGATCTATTGGTTGTCCCTAATAATCATGTACTGCCCTTCCAATAATTGTCTACATAACCCATCTCCTCCTTTCCCTGTGGAAAAGGTTATAGGAGCTTTTATACCCCATTGGAGGGGGGTTGGGGAAATCACTCAGTGATATCTGCTCCTGTACTTTAATAAATTTGTATGCCTTTTCTCCTTTTTATCTGCTTTTGTCAATTAATTGTTGAATGAATCTTTTCAGGGATAAAGGGAAGTTTTCCCTTGATCCTTACATTAACAGCAGGTCCTGTTAGGCCTACAACCGGTAGATCCATTCTACATAATCTAACTCTGTAATTATAGATTTGATATCTTGTATAGAGAAATAATTGTTTAAAAAGTTAACCAGCTTGTTATTTAATACAGTATGTTGTATTGGTTATTAACCCCACCAATTAGAAAAATTTATCATGTACACATTAAAAATTTTTGGAGTTCTTTTATTCCACCAATTAGTCTATATATGGTGCCAAAATGTTATTATCAATTATTTGTGTTGGGGCTCAGAAACAGGACCCAAAATGAAAGCCTTAGAGTTTTTGTCTGTCCTGTAGACCTCTCAGTCCTGTTCTTTCCTTGAGGATAGAGCTAAAAAACTAGAACCTCTTTTCCCCGAGGCAGGTCATAAAAGCCAGTCATAAAACCTACATTTATTCTGTGTAAATACTGGCCATAAATTACCTCACCTACCTTATTTGACTATAGACTATAACACCCCCATTCCAGAGAGGGCCCTGCCCAACACCCAGAAGGAAGTAATATATGCTCAAAGAAGCCAGAAGGAATCTAGACAGACAAGCATTGCTAGGTTTTCCCAGTCAGTTAGCATTAAATCATATCCTCTTTTTTCAATCATATTTTTACACAGCTGGCCATACTTTGTTTAACCTAAGCATAAAAAGGGACAGTTTTCCCTGTATTTTTGGGTCTTCATTTTGAAGGTGTAACAAGAAGAAGAGGGTTCAGCTACCTGTCACTGTCAGCAATATGCAGAGATGGGAATCGATCCACCAAACTTTGTGAGAAGGCTAGAATTATGGAGAACATAAGAGTAGCCTCTCCAAGACTGTTCTGTTTTACCAGTTTTATACATAGAAGTTCAAAGCAAAGACCATATTAACCCTTATTTTAAATAACAATCAGCATAACTCAGTGACCTATTATAACATTCCAATTCAAGAGTTAATATCCTCAATCAATCCACCTAAACTATTCAAGATAGGCATCTTTATTTTAGGGTGGGAGCTAAATTTACAAAACAGTAATAATGGGTGACTGGTATGGTGGGGGTGGGGGGGGTGAAGGTCAGACAGGACCTCAAGCGACTAGACCAGCTGTGTCATGTTGGCCCTAGCCTGACTCCATCTTATTCTTACATGTGCTTTCAAAGGTTCCATGTATACATGTTAAATAAATTTGTATGACTTTTCACCTGTTAATTAATCTGCCTCATGTCACTGATTTTTCAGTAAAACTTTAGGAGGCTAGAGGTCCTGCTCCCTACATTGTAACTTTGAAGATTATCTTATTATTTGACAGTGTAATTCCCACCTTAAAATTAATTTTCCAAAACTTCCTGAAATTACAAGCCATCTTTCAAAATTTTTATTTTTTTAAAAGACAAAGTCTCATTCTGTTGCCTGGCTGGAGTACAGTGGCACAATCATAGCCCACTTTTGTGGAAATGTTACCAGATGAAGAGGGTCTGGCTGCCTGTCACTGTCAGCCAATATTCAGAGACAGGGATAGGTCCACCAAACTTTGTCAGTAGGCCAGGATTCTGGAGAACAGTGACAGTAGCCTCTCCAAAAACTGTTCTGTTCTTCCATTTCTAACATTATAGTTGTATACATTTAAGTTCAAAGTGAAGACCATATTAATCCTTCCTTATCTTAATAGTTGGCAGAATCCATGACCCAAAACATTTCAATTTGAAAGTTAATCTCCTAAATCAATCCACCTAAACTACTCTAGATGGGCATCTTTAGGGTGGGAGCTAAATTTACAAAACAGTAAAGAATGAGAGACAGGTCAGGCAGGACCTAAACAGACCAGACCAGCTGTGTCATATCTGCCCTAGCCTGACAGATGCCATCTTATTCTTACTATGTGTGCTCTCAGAAACAAGGTCAATCTGTTATCAAAAGCTCAGCATTTGTCCCCAAGGACACAGCAGAAGAACAAGACAGGGCAGCACCTATAGCTCAGTGGTTAGGGCACCAGCCACATACACCATGGCTGGCGGGTTCAAACCCAGGCCAGGCCAGCTAAACAACAATGACAACTGCAACAACAAAAATAAAAAACAGCCAGGCATTGTGGTGGGTGCTTGTAGTCCCAGCTACTTGGGAGGCTGAGGCAAGAGAATTGCTTTAAAGCTCAAGAGTTTGAGGTCACTGTGAGCTGTGACACCCCGGCACTCTACCAAGGGCAACATAGTGAGACTCTGTCTCAAAAAAAAAAAAAAATAAGAGCAGGACAAGAAGTTTGAAAAGAGAAATCTACTACTTTGCCAGCAAAGGAGGAAAATGGCAGATTCTCAAATTCCAAATTTTCAAAATCCAAATTCCTGCCTCTGATCAGAAGCAGAGAGCTTTCAAAGATTTTGATTAATCTTGTAATCCCATTTTGGGCTAAGACAATCTCATGACCTTCATCCAGTTTAATCCCATCTTTGACTAAAACAATTTTGTGGGCCTCTGTCCAGACGAATTTCTTTGCACTATCTCCTGTGTCATAAAGAACAAAAGACATTCCCTTGCCCCTCCTGACCACTGGCCTGAGGCAGGGATGCAGGTTTTAGTTCCCAAAAAGAGTGGGGGCCATTGCCCCCCATTTCCAACATTGTTATGTTACCCAGGCTGGTCTCAAATTCCTGGCCTCTCCAGTGACCCTCCAGCCTCAGCTGCCCAAGGTGCTGGAACTACAGCCATGAGCCACAATGCCTGGCTACAAGTCATTTTCTTAAGTTACAAGGAAAAAAATGTTTTAGGACTTTGGTCAATATACACTTTCGTTTAATGCTTTTCAATAATTGTTTTCTTTTTTGGCAGATTTTGTTTTGAATTATATTTCCCCAACATTAGTTAGCTGAAATACATTGTAAACACTTTTCTCTACTTTAGAAATCAGTACATTTCTCAGGAATCAGAATCCTCCTTCTCTGATTTCATAACAGCTTGCATAGCAAAATGAGGATAATAGGTATAACAGTGGATGGTAAAGGGGTAACACTCCAAAAGAGCCACTCCAAAATATGCTACTTTGGTATAAGGATAATTTTTTTTGAGCTAAAAGCAATTTAAAAAGAAAAGTTACAAGAGAAGCACTCTGACCTTTCCCTTCATCAAAGTGGGAAATAAACCCCCCTAAGGAAGATGTATTCTCCATAACAAAAGAAAAAGAACATTCTTTGTTTTCCAAGATAAGGAAGTTGAGACCCAAAGAACTCTGTGTAAACAGACTTTCTTAAAATCATTACCTTCAGTTAGACTCCCCACATAGTTTGTTACTTTCTCTCAATTTACTCTGTTCAACATAGTATAACAGCATTTAGGTTTTGCCACTTCTTTGGGTCTTTATTTCCTTCTGAGAGCTCTCAGGTCACATAAAACTTACATTAAATAAATTTATGTGTTTTTCTTGTTAATCTGTCTTATATTAGTTTAATTCTCAGGCCTAGCAAGAAAAACACTGAGAGGATAAAGGGAAAATGCTACTCTTTCTGTAGTGGATATCTAAAAAGTTTATCAGACTCTTTAGTTTCTGAAATTGGTAGGCAGAGGTGTTTAATTTTCTATAAACATACACAGAGGATACCATTTAAAAACTGTGATGCTAAAAAGGTTATTTTCTAATATGGTAATTATCAAGATAAATTTAGTACAACCTAGTTTCTTTGCATTCTCACATTCTTTCACTATGCAACAAATACGGTAGCAAATTTGTTAGTCATACTTGCAAAATACATCCTATGCTAAACTATTATCTGTTTAATTATTACATTAATTTAAATAAATTGGAAGACATTTAAAGACAGAACAATTGAATGATGAATAAAATCATTATTTGAGTTACATATATTCTAAAAATCCCATCAAAAGTTCTATTTTACTATTTTTGGGGAGTCATTTGAGTGCCTATCATCGCTAGATATTGTTGTCAATAGTTATTTTTATTCCAAAAAATCATAATTATACTAGGATTGGAAGTAATAAGTACAAGAAATAGAAACATTAAGAGTGTGACTGTTTATATGTGACTTCAATAGACTTAAGTGCTAAAGAAACTCCACATAGGAAGAAAAGATTTCAGGGAAAGCTTATAATTAAGCTGAAAAGGAATGGAGTAGGTCAACCAAATTTCAGAGCAAGGGTTTTTAACCAGAGGTCTGTATGTACACATAGCAATGCCCCTATGGATAAATTCAGCAGTTTGGTCGTGGTGGTATGACAGGGAAATTTGTGAGTTTGTGTAGTAAAATAATATATTTAAATTAACCTTTGACTAAACGTTGGCATTTCACTTTATTATTAATTTAGGCCACAAATCTCAGAAATTTCAGTTTCATTTCTCATTAAAAATGCTGCGTATATTGAAGCATTTATACTAAATACTAATATGCAGTTTTTATGTTCACCAAATTCTGTAATGTGTTAACTATATAATCACATATTTCATCACTCTGTTGAAGTTATTTTGAAAACTAATTGTTTTCGCATTTTATACACTGAAAATATTGTTCTGAGAGGTGTTTGTTTTTGAGACAAGAGTTTCAGTTGCCCTGCGGTTGAGTGCCCTAGAACCATAGCTCACAGCAACCTCAAACTCTTGGGCTCAAGCTTCCCAGTAGCTGAACTACAGGCTGCCTGCCACAATGCCCGGCTACTTTTTCTATTTTTAGTGGAGATGGGAGTCTCTCTTTGCTCAGGCAATTCACCCGCCTCAGCCTGCCAGAGTGCTGGAATTATAAGGCGTGAACCACCATGCTCAGCCATAGTACCCTGAACGCGCCAGATTTTGATCTAAAGTGTCAGGCCTGGTTAATACTTGGATCGGAGATTTTTGTTAAGTGTCACCAGAAAGCTAGAGGTGTCCACAATATACTAGACAAAAAGCTAAGAACACCTCTTTTTCTTTTTTCTAATGATTACGTCAGCGTTCAGTGAGCCGAGGTAGGAGGCAAGATTCTGCAACCTGAGCAAGGAAAACAGTTGGCACGGGTAATAACACCACCAATGTTTACTACACCACCAAAAGTTACTTGCAATGTCACATTAAATAACTTCTCCACAAGTAAATGTAAGCCTTGGTAGAAGGCCAGTTTGTCAGGAGCCACCAACACTTCTTCCAACACTCATGGACAACTCTTCGTGAAAGGTCATAATCACTCCTTTGTTATTTTTCTTTCCACACAAAAACTTGTGTGACTAGCAAGTTTACTTTTCAATGGCAATATTTAGGAAAAACATTTCCCCAAGCTTCGTTATTTCTATTAAGGTTTATTAAAAGTATCCTGGTCAGGTTCTGCGATAACTGCACTTGAGATACACGCTTCCCAATTATGAGAAACTTTTCACCTAGACGTTGTCTCCAAATGTCAAATGTCATCCTAATATTTTACTAAGTTCAATTAAGGACATACTTTGCAATTTTGGGCAGGCTAAAGAAGGGTATACTTCATAGCTTATATTCTGGGAAAAATGTATGTAGCCCTGCCAGTTTGAGACTTCTGCAGGACTCACAGGCTTCCAGAGGCATCATCTTCATCTTTCACTGGATTCGCATGTAGCGTTTTAATCAGCTGTGTACTTAAGGTAGTGGCGATTTAGCACCCGGCCACCCGCTGAGGTCAATAGCGTCAGGGCTTCCTCAGGCACCCAGTGGCCTGCAGGGTTCGCTTGGTGTGAAGTTAGGGGAGTAATAATTTTGTACGGAACAGCTACAGGAACTTATGTAACTAATGGCTGCCTGTGCACTAGTGGTTTACTAAGATCTGCCTTAAGTGTGGATAATACGTCCGTTATACGTGGTGCCCACTGTTTTACTTCCACAAGGGCCATCAGTATTGTGAGTATAGCCCCGCTTTTCCCAAGCTCCCCTTTTTCTCATTCACCATACAAAAAATATTAAGCTCTTTTTAAAGAGAATATAGGTGGCCCTTAAAAGAGCCTTTGGTTTGGACTGGACTCAAGTTATTACAAACTAATCCACGGTATTACTTGCCCTTGGCTTTGTGGTGGCTTTCAGTCTTCTTGGGCAGCAGCACGGCCTGAATATTGGGCAGGACACCACCCTGCGCAATGGTGACTTTACCCAGCAGCTTGTTGAGTTCCTCGTCGTTACGGATGGCCAGCTGCAGATGACGAGGAATAATCCGAGTCTTCTTGTTGTCACGAGCCGCATTGCCCGCCAGCTCCAGGATCTCGGCTGTTAAATACTCCAGCACAGCTGCTAAGTACACCGGCGCGCCAGCCCCAACTCGCTCGGCATAGTTGCCTTTGCGGAGCAGACGATGGACACGGCCCACGGGGAACTGGAGACCTGCTCGAGAAGAACGAGTTTTGGCTTTAGCGCGAGCCTTGCCACCCTGCTTGCCACGTCCAGACATGCTGAGTAAACTAACCGCCAACAGTTATTGAAAGAAACCGTCCTAGCGAGGCTTTTTATAACCATATTGGGCGCGAAAAAGAAAGACGTGTCATAGGTTAAGACTGTAGCTTCATTTTAACCAATAGAAACTTGACTTCTGGATTTACAAGTCCTGATTGGGCAATACTAGTCTTTGTCTAACCTACCAATCAGAGTAGGCTTTAATTACACCTTATTTGCATAAGGCGTTCTATATAAAGACGATTCAGGACTCTTTGTCTTCACTTTTTTGGTTTTCTCTGGTGTGAGCTGTAGTGCAGTTACTATGCCTGAACCAGCGAAGTCAGCTCCTGCTCCCAAGAAGGGTTCTAAGAAGGCTGTGACAAAAGCTCAGAAGAAAGATGGCAAGAAGCGCAAGCGTAGTCGAAAGGAGAGTTATTCCATCTACGTCTACAAGGTGTTGAAGCAGGTTCATCCGGACACAGGCATCTCTTCCAAGGCTATGGGCATCATGAACTCCTTCGTGAACGACATTTTTGAGCGTATTGCCGGCGAGGCGTCACGCCTGGCGCATTATAACAAGCGCTCTACCATCACTTCCAGGGAGATTCAGACAGCTGTACGCCTGTTGCTTCCTGGAGAGCTGGCTAAGCATGCTGTGTCTGAAGGCACCAAGGCTGTCACTAAGTATACCAGCGCCAAGTAAATAGTGAGTTGACTGAATTTTTAACTAACGGCTCTTTTAAGAGCCACCTATGTTGTCAAAAGAGAGCTGATACTTGGGCTTTGTTTGCCACAACTCTCTACAAAGCTTTCTACTCTGATGCAAGGTAACACTGAGCAATACTTTTGGGGCTTTGCCTTAAAGTAAACTTAGTCACTAGCGACTCAAGGTTTAAGCTATCCTTTAAGACTTCCTTACAATTAACTATACCCCCGATAGTTTTTGTCATTTCTAAAAACTGCATTTTAAGATGGTCTCACCTCTGGAACCAATAAGGGCTAATGAGATGGAAGAGAATTCAGCAGGAAATTTAAGTACTTCGCGGGCCTATGGAATGTTAAATTGTGTTAGAGATTTTAAATTGTGTCAAAGAGATTTCCCGGGCAGTTTGAATGTCCCCGGGTGCTGCCCGCCTTTATTTTGAGCTTCCTGATTGGCTGCCGAAAGGGCGGTTTGGCTGCGCAGCTAAGAATCCAGGACTCGCCACTGCTCGAACCCCGCACACAAACCGACAGTTGACATTTTCGTTGGTGGTAAGGAATTTAAAGGATGTGATTTTTTATTCAGGAAGATAGTGCCTTTTTTGGATACTGTTTACCCTTTCCCCTTTGTCCGTATAATCGAAAGTGTGACGAAATTAAGCCGGACTATGAGGATGCAATGAAGGCAGACTGCTTTTTAAATCCTGTTTTATTTATTTGAGACTGAGTCTGTCACTTTCGGTAGAATACAGCCGTGGCGTCATTTTTCTCAGCAACCTCAAACTTGGGCTCGTCAACCTTCCAAGTACCTGGGACTACGGGCCCACCGTGACGCCTGGCCAGTGTTTTTCAATTTTGAGTAGAGATGAGTCTTGGTCTTGGTCAGGCTGGTCCGGAACTTTCAACTCAGGCTGCCCACGCCCCTCGGCCTTCCAGAGTGCTAGGATATTTACAGGCGTGAGCCACCTCGCCCAGCCTTAAATCCTGTTTTTCGCTTTGCCTGGAACCAGTTAGGAAATACAAGTACTGCGTCATTCGGGTTGCCGAACGAGAGCAAGTCAGCCAACAAATGAGTTTCTCTAGGTTATCACTTTTGAAAATTGTCTCTTATAAGCATTTGGAAGCTTCCACTATGACTAGTTTTTTGAGAGGTAGACAATACATAACTGATTTGTTTAGAATGGATCTAAACTTAGCGCAGCAATGACTAAAGTTATTATTTTGTTAAATCCACTGTCAAATATGCACTTCTCCTTTGCTGACTTAAGTTCTACCCATTTTTTTAAAGCCCATACCTGCTCTCTAAAATTTCTTCTCTTTTTTGAACTTTTTGTTTAACACTTGCGGAGCCTTTGGAAACTGCCTCTGTAAAGTTTCTTATATAGTATAGTATGTCCTAGTTAAATTACTGTTAGGTCGGTTGTATGCATTTCTATGTAGGGAATGTACACTCATGATTTGAAAAGAGGGAAAGGAAAAAAGAAATCAATTTTTTTTACTTTGCCCTCATCATCGTCCTGATTATCCATACTAATAACTGAGTCTTGTGAATGCACAGAACTTAAATGACTGTGAATGTCGTTACTTGCTGTGTGACGTTAGCCTCTGATCCTCTCTATTAATCCAAATAATTAAGTGATAATTTCCAAGCTAATGATTTTTTTGTTGTTGATCCTCCCGTTTCATATAGGAATCAGATTAAGAGCAGAATTTGTGGGAAAAGGAGAAGGATTGGGACAGAAGATGACTCATTGGGCATTTTGTCCAGCCACAGGTTTGTAAAGGCTAAATTTTTGAAAACTGAGTTTAGTTGAAAGTACTCACCTAATTTTCCTACAACTCAGAAAACTAAATTGCCCAAGGGATAAATAAAGTCACCTTTTGGGTTTGCATCTTGGTAAAGTTCTCTTAGGAATAGAGATGAAGGTTTCTTTGCTTGAAATGGTTGAGGCAGCGCCTGTGGCTCAAAGGAGTAAGGCACGGGCCCCACATGCAGGAGGTGACCAGCCCCGGTCAAAACTGCAAACAAACAAACAAACCAAAAAACCCCCTAAATGCTTGACCTGGCTCACACCTGTAATCCTAGCACTCTGGAAGGCCAAGGGGGATGGATTGCTTGAGCTTGGGATCAGGAGTAGAGACCAGCCTGAGCAAGAGCAACCTCTGTCTCTGCTAAAAATAGAAAAAATGAGGCAGGAAGGATAGCTTGAGCCCAGGAGTTTGAGGTTGCTGTGAGCTCTGATAATGCCATGGCACTCTGTCTCAAAAAAAAAAAAAGAAAGAAAAACTAAATGCTACCAATTCTCAACCCACTGCTAATCTGTTACAGAAGAATTGGTTCAAAGCTAAATTATCATTGTTTGTCATTTTAAAAAACATGTACACTTGGCTTGGCACCTGTAGCACAGTGGTTATGGCGCCAGCCACATACACCAAAGGTGGCAGATTTGAACCCAGCCCCAGGCCAGCTAAACAGCTGCAACAACAAACAAACAAACATGTTATTTTTACATATACATGTGAATATTAGGTTTCCACCTTTTGCCTTCACAGAATTAAAAAGGCTTAAAATTTACCAACAATAACAATGTTTAAGGTAAGGACTAGAAACAAAAACTTCGTAAAGAATGATGAACAAAGATAAATACATTCAGAAAAGAAATCAGACGATTGCTGCAATGAAGTATCAAGCAATAATAATATTAATAATGCAAAGAAAGTAACATTCACATTGTCAAATATGAGTATGACTATTATAGAATGCTTTCACTCTGAGGTTCAGTATAGAGTTATCAATTAACTTCTTATTATTTTTTTCCAAAGTCTCAAAAAACGGACAACTAATATTTATAATTAAAAATAAAAGATAATTTAAAAAAATGGATCATGCCAAATCTTATAGACAATAGAAAAAGAAATACTTCAAAATCATTCTGCTTAATCTGGATACACCTGATATTAAAATTGGAAAAAATATATTATTATAAAGGGGAAATTACAAACATAATTCACTTTTAAATGAGGGTGTAGTATCCTGTATCCTAAACAACATATTAACAAGTTGAAGTAAAAATTAATGTTTAAATGATGTACTTTAGTCAAAATGAAATCCAATTTATGTGAGAATTAGTCACTATTTTCTTTTTTTTCTTGTCCTTACCCTCACCCCCTCCCTCCTTCTCTGTCTGCTCACCCCTTCCCCCATGTCCCACCATGTCATTAATTGTCATTAATTGTCCTCATATCAAAGTTGAATACACAAGATTCATACTTTTCCAAGTATCCTGTGATACTTCACTAAGGATAATGTGTTCCACCTCCATCCAGATTAGTACAAATGCTGCAAAATCTCCATTTTTTTAAATAGCTGAATAATATTTCATGGTATACATATACCACAGCTTGCCAATCCATTCCTGGGTTGAAGGACATTTAGGCTATTTCCACATTTTAGTGATTGTAAATTGGGCTGCAATAAACAGCCTAGTACAAGTGTCTTTATAATAAAAGTGTTTTTTTCCCCCGCTCTGGATAGATGCCCAGTAATGGGATTGCAGGATCAAATGGGAGGTCTAGGTTGAGTTCTTTGAGGTTTCTCCATACTTCCTTCCAAAAAGGTTGTTTAGTTTGCAGTCCCACCAGCAGTGTAAAAGTGTTCCTTTCTCTCCACCCACGCCAGCATCTGCAGTTTTGAGATTTTGTGATATAGGCCATTCTCGCTGGGGTTAGATGATATCTCAGGGTGGTTTTAATTTTCATTTCTCTAATAATTAGGGATGATGAGCATTTTTTCATGTATTTGATAGCCATTCGTTTATCTTCTTTAGAGAAAGTTCTCTTTATCTTTCTTCCCCATTGATGTAGGGGATTGTTGGTTTTTTTTCTTGTGGATTAATTGAAGTTCTGTATAGATCCTAATTATTAAACTTTTGTCTGATTCAAAATATGCAAATATTCTTTTCTGTTGGGTAGGTTGTCTGTTTGCTTTGGCTGTTGTCTCCTTGGCTGTACCGAAGCTTTTCAATGTAATTAAATCCCATTTGTTTATTGTTGTGGTTGTTGCTATTGCTATAGCAATCTTCTTCATAAAGTCTTTCCCCAGGCCGGTATCTTCCCGTGTTTTTCTTATTCTTTCTTTGAGGATTTTTATCGTTTCATGCCTTAAATTTAAGTCCATTATCCATCTTGAATCAATTTTGGTGAGTGGAGAAAGGTGTGGGTCCAGTTTTAGTCTTTTACATGTGGATATCCAATTCTCCCAGCACCATTTATTGAACAGGGAGTCTCCCCCAGTGGATGTTCTTGTTAAGATTAGGTGGCTGTAAGTTGCTGGTTTCATTTCCTGGTTTTCTCTTCAATTCCAAATGTCTATGTCTATTTTTGTGCCAATACCATGCTGTCTTGACCACTATGGCTTTGTAGTACAACACACTTTCTTTTTTTTTTTAATTTGAGACAGAGCCTCAAGCTGTCACCCTGGGTACAGTGCTGTGGCATCACAGCTCACAGCAACCTCCAACTCCTGGGCTCAAGTAATTCTGCCTTCGCCTCGCACATAGCTGGGACTTACAGGTGCCTGCCACAATACCCGGCTATTTTTTGGTTGCAGCCGTCATTGTTGTTTGGCAGCCTGGGCTGGATTCTAACCTGCCAGCTCTGGTGCATGTGGCTGGCGCCTTAGCCGCTTGAGCCACAGATGCCGAACTCACAGTTTCGGTTTTTTAAAAACGAATACACTTTCTTCAGGAATGACAAATATCAATATTAAGAAATCCAGTTATACAAAAAATACTGTATCTAGTCTAGGGGTAAAACTAGCTGTTTTTAAAGGATTTTTTTAAAGTTATATCAAATGATTATATTTACTATACTTTTTCTACTGTGCATATATTTCTTTTTCAACTAATCTACAATAGTTATTGTACTCAAGGTACCCAGTCCCCTGAGCTGATAGAGATACAGCCATGAAGGTTAGTGGAGCCTATATTCTGATATCATGTAGATACCTATTCTTCAATTAAAATAAT